ATTTATCTTGTTCTGTCTTTCTTTATCCTTCTTCTCACTCTCATCCCTCGTCCATATGACTCCCCATTGTGCTCGCAAGCCAAACTCGTATACAGAGAAATAGTATATATACATAAGAGTGAGAAATAGAGCCTATCCCGCCAAATAACTTTCAAGCACCATATCTACGCAATAGTGTATGCACGTAGCGCGCTGAGGACACGACGTGAACTTTAACTCTTTAAATAATAAAGAGAAGCAGGTTAACTTGGGAAATATTCATTAACTTGAGAATCCTAAATAATATGAATGTGAAACTTAATATAGCAAGTAAATGTTGGAAATAAAGAAATTTGAATTTGAAGGAAAAATTTGAAATAGTATATAAGATATCTATTTTTTTTTATTTGTGATTATTTGTGATTATTATAGTGACTTACGCAAAGCGACGTTAATTCGGATAAGTAACTTTAATAATTAGATACCCGATAATCCCGTAGGACTATGTATCGATAAATAATTAAATTGAGATGATATATCGTGCCGATCCGAAAATTGAGTTAGTCGAGAGATGGCAGTGCGCGATGGTAGGAGTCCTGTAAGAGTAATTCGAAGATAATGCGATCAATAGGAAGCGCCAACGAGATACGAGCGTAAAATAATTTTGGAGAAGAGCGTGATGTATGCACGTGCGCATGTGAAGAGCCGCGGTGAGATATGTACTTTGGCCTCTTAAATAACCAAAGAATGCGCGGGATGTCGTTTCGGCGCTACGTGTCACGCGCGACATAAAATTAAGCGAGAGTACTCGGCACTCGTGCGAAAGGACTATGTTATCTCAACTGTGCAATTCAATTGCATAAATGTAAAATAGAACAGTTGAGAAAAGGGAAAAGCGTGCCGAAATCGTAGATTTAAGAAGAGATCTCATTCTTTTCATATTATAATATTTAAGAAAGTACACAGGAAGAAAAATTCTTTTTATTCGACAAAGAATTTATAAACGGAAAATAATATTCTCCATTAAATGAAACTTCTCCCTCCCCCATCCCCACCCCCTCTCTTTCTCTCTCATTGCTTGCATCTCTATTTTCTTGTTTATCTTTGTAAATTTGATTTAATTTAACTTTTATGCCTTCATTTCTTTGTTTTTTTTTTCTTTTTGTCACTTTATTATTTTTTATTTTTATGTTTATCATATCACTTATTGTTCTTATGTTCTCTGTAAATTTTTTTTTTATCAACGCTTTTAATTTGTACATTTTTAAATGGTTTGCTCTCTCGTATTTTTAGAAATTTTTTTAATGACTTTATAAGTTAATTATAGCTCTTACGTAATTGATTTATGAATAATTGATGGTGCAACGTGTATACCATCCTGCACAAGTTCACGGGGAGCTTTTGCAAAATTCCAAATTCCACTACGTTATAAATGTTGCAAACGCAAATATCCGAAACGGGTAGCGTACCCTTGGAAATAGCGTATGAACATAGGGTTCAGTGTATTTTTTTGACCCCTTAAATTGCCAGGAAGGTACGGACGGTCGTTTGTTAGCCACCACGTGTTATCGCTGCCTTGAATAATACAGTTGGTGTGTTTTACGAAAGTTATGCGCTTACACCCTTTAACTAAATTACGCTTCGCGGGGGTTTGAACGTTTCCCCGATAGATGCGCCAGAAGAGATAAACCAGCAGAGTATACGTCCATTTTCTGTGGTTTTTTTTTACCCGTTAATAAATATTTCACGCATCGTTCTCTTGTACAAATTAATAATTTCTATCGCAATATGAGACGATAATAAATTGTTACGTAAACAAATATTTTTTTTCTATGAAAGGGTTATGAAATTGAAAAAAAAAGAGTGACAATATTAAAACCGTTTATTTCTATTCTATTATTTCGTTATGAACAATCACAGAAATTAAAATTGCGTGGAAAAAAAGAAAATTGCTTCTACAACACGTTTAAAACGTTGCAACGAACTGACACGTGCCTTCGAGGTATCGTTGACGTTAAAGAATCACTTTACTGGTGAAAGAGATAAAAGTGTAGTCCACTACTCGTTCGTGTAAAACGGAACACGTGCGAAATGGACCACGAAGAAAAATACGGAAACCCGTGCTACGCCAATGTCCGCAAAGGCAGCAAGCTCCATCGGTCGGTCCATCAAGCCTCGATAGTCGTGAAATCTTTCCCACATCCGTCTTCTAGCCCGTTGCTCGCCGCCTTCGTGCCTTCTACGATTTTTCCCATTAAAAGTAAGACGACGCCCTCGTGCAAATCCCCGCACATTTTTACTGCCGCGTTCGTGCACCGATATACGCTTAAAATCAATGTTCAATGCACATACGGCTTCCCACGTCTCGCGCGAGCAGCTGAAATATGTGTATGTATCCCACGAAGAACACACTGTGCGTATGTGTGCGTGTGTCGAGGGATTTCGAGTGTATATACGGGGTGTACCACGAAGTGAATGTAGAAGTAGTATAGAATTAAATGCTCAAAATATAATACAATTCCATTATCCGAATTTCGTAAAAATAATTTCAATATCTGATATAACATCAGAATATATTTTACTTCTGTAAAACGGACGAGACTCGCGCGGCGTCCTGTTAGTTGATTGTGATTCTGGCATTAACTGTAGAATTAACGAGATATTCAGTTTTTGTCTCGATACTTTTAATGCTAACGAATTCGATAAAGTGTTCCGGTCGGGCGTGTATGTGTAGACGATACCGCAATGAGCGCATGAATCGAATACAAATGCGTATGATGGTACGATGGTAGGGAAATCGATAAACGTTCTCTACAGCGCGTATTGTCATTCCTCGCGTAAACATAGATATTTTATTCGCAAACTGATAGATTATAATAAATCGAATTTACTTATAATAATAAAATTAAACAATATATTGAAAATTTAATTCGCTATTTTTGTTTACCAAAAAGACAATACTCTCTTGTGCACTATAAAAAAATTATATGTGACATTACAATAATTACACAGTCGGTAATTTTGGAACTCATTATTAAAGATGTTGTGTAATCACACACATAAATAAAGTTATAATTTATTTTTATAAATAAATTATTTTTTATAGTAATTAAACAAGAAGTAAGTTAGCACAATTAAAGTTACGTTTATAGAAATATGTACGTATTAATTCGCCAATGAGTAATTTTTCTTAATTTTTGTTATTGATATGTACAAACATAAAAATGCAA